GTGGTCTCCAAATACGGAACCATTACCGTTGTGGGAGAGATGGGGATGGGGTCGGTGAAATCAAACTTCACCGTCGATCCGTAAACCGTCCGAACCAGTCGTTTAAGGAAGGCACTGCAACACAGTTTTGAGGCTAGGATAATGTCATCTACATATCGTCCCGTCATAATGGAGCTTCCCCTACCTGGGTATTGTCTGTCCGTTGCAAATTCCAAATCACTGAGTACAGTATGTAACGCGGCCCCGCCCAGGGGGCACCCAATGGGCATGCCGCAGAGTTGTTGAATCACGAGACCGGCCACCAAGAACAGTCGCATTCCCAAGAAGCCTTCCAGGGCCCTCCATATACTACTGGGCAACCATACTGTCCTATCCCAGAGACGCTGGTTAGTGTGGCCCCCGAAGAACACATGGGACCTCTGGGTCCGCATCACCGTGACGCAACGTTTTCGGCCTTCGTTTTCACTCGAGTCGAGCTTGGCGAAAAGGCGATCCAAGCAGGAATTTATCCGCTCCACCTCGATGACCTCGTAGGCTTGCCCAGCGTCGCCCACAACGACGCCTGGGCAGGTAAGAGGCCGACCGCGTCCCCTGCGCGTGCATGGGGCGCCCTGCGGAGGCGAGGCAAGGTAGTGAAACTGATGGATGATGTTCGGCACTGCGCTGTCGAGCGAGGAGAAGGCCCACCCAGGGTTCATTTGGTTTGAAATGAATGTCAGCGCTCGGCCCAAGGATCGATAAAGTCCCCGCGACGGTAGCCGCGCGAAGCTGCATATATTTCTAAAACAACTGCGCTGTGGTTTCGCACAGGTATGGCGGCCTTCTGGTGGGGGATTGGGTTCCCCACTCCAACATTTTAGCTTCAGAGTTGGATAAATATAAGGGATGTGTCGAGCGTTGAGTGGTCCCTCTCCTTTGGCCCGCATGGACTTCGGAATAGTGTAGTCATAGAGCAACCGATGCCACGAGACCACTGCAGATTGAGAAGAGTCCACCACGCGCCAACGCGTGGGGGCTCGAGCGAGCATGCACAGCCAGCGCGCGAGATGGAGCACCCCATTCACCATCCACAATGTGTTGGGATCCTTGTCCTCAACCGTGAAGCACGCCCCGTCGGGGGCCTCTAGGGCCCGAGTCTCAAAGCCGAGACGGGCCTCATCGAGGGCCTGATACCTGCGGGCGCCCCGAGAAGTCGGTGGGGTGTCGGAAGTGGAATTTTGTGGGGGTCGGTCGGGTGGGTGAGCTTTCTCATCGAGTCCCATGGAGCCAAGCCACCGCCTGCAAGATTTCTGGGTTTCGGCTTTCTGATTGTCGGGAAGGGCGGGGTTATCCAATGGAATGCGGGCATTCATAGGGATCCTTTCCATATCACCTCCACGGGCAGCACGGTCGAAGTCCTGAAGAGTCAGATCCCCTAGGGATTGGAAATGTTGTTCCCGAAATACTCTGGCAATATTGCAAAACTGTCGTCGTATTGCGGGAATGGGCTGAACTATAATCATGGTAGCCTTGGCGGCCCAAGAGGCCCATGCTGGGCGCGAAGGCCGCGCCTGGTGTGCAGTACGGGCAAGCCAGCGGCGAACGCTGCCTACCTCGGCGGCACAAGACACCCGCACAATAGAGCAAGCTGGGGTAGGGAGATGTAGAGAATGGAGATGATCCTTGAGGGAGGAGCGTACACGAACCCGATCCATCCAGAATGGATACAGAGCTGAGAATTCCCAAATAGTGTACAAGAAATCACTTCCGTGGGGCCGAGCTCTATATACTATTGGCCACGGCATGCTGCGAGCGTCGGTTGAAGCCCACTTCATCATCAGAACGCTGCTGCCAGGACCTGCACTGTGCAAGGGGCCGTATCCCTTGCCAGCCATGTGGTGTCGCTGCAGACACAGATCGCACAAAGTACCGTAGGGCTGTTGTAACAAATGTTGCCACCGATGTCGCGTGGCCAGGTACCGAGAGAACCCGAGGGACTTGATGCTGAGGCGTTGCTTTCGTTTCTCGTACCATTCCTGTTGCAATGTGGTTTCCATCAGTCCGATACACATCCCAGATCGTTTCTCCTTCCGTCGTCGACGTGCCCGTGGATGGGCGCGATACCTTGCCCCAAGACGCCCAAGGTGTGGATTCGGAAGGTTATTCGCGGCTGGTCTGGTGTAAGCTATGTGGGCGCTTTCCACAGCATGTATGGCGGACGTTGGGACCAAAGTCAGGAAGAAGAGGAGGGTCCAGGTCGAGCACCCAGGGGCCAGCTGGAGGTACCTGTTTTTCTCCTTGGTGGGGGGTCCCAGGGCAACACAACGAAGGCCTCGTAGGTGCTCCGGAAATCGCCCAACACCACCGGAATACCCAGACGTCCCTCGGCATAGGGTCCCTTGACCGATGTACAAGCAGTCAGATCCAAGCTGGTATACAAAGCTGGAGTCGGATGTGGGGAGCGCGTCGGAGGAGCGAAAGCCTGTTCCGAGAACACGACGTATGTGTAGGAGAACAAAGTGGAAGAGCTCGGATGACTCAACCAGCGATGCCTGTCCATGGTGGCTAATCGCACTCTGTAAGCGTGGAGGAAAAATGTGCAGGAGTCGGGAACATCGACGGCGGCTCTTCTTCCCGCCGATGGCAAATACTCGAGCACGGCATAAAGAAACACCTAACGTAATTCCCGTCGCAAATACTGAGGCGTATGAGCTAGTACCGGGGGCTGCTCTCCTCGAAAGCACCTCAGTTTGAATATTGTGCAGAGCCGTCACAAAGTACAAAGAGGGTTGTGTCTCCAAGCGTTGCCATAGCGTAGCAGCGAAAAGCATGGCAAGGGTGTCAGCGTATGGTCTACTGCCCAGGAAGTCCGAGTAAATCGAGAGCTCAGAGGCCCAAGAAGTCATCAGTCGAAGTTCTTTGATTAGTGAAGGGAGAAGCGCGGGGCCTTCGGGGGGCACATGTCGAAGGGGTAGGTAGCGGCGGAGAAACTCGTCATTATCTGTCTGATACGAACCCTTTACTGGCACAGGCAAGCAGAGGAACAGAAACGCTATCATCTTCCAGCTGGCTTGGCGGCTGGTCGAAGGAGCAAATCGGATCATCTGTCGAAGGGGTAATGTCACAACAATAGCACTGAAGGCTGAGGCCACGCGAACGTCGCTTGGCTGAGCTGTCGTACCAAGAATGAGCATCACCACTACCGACCAAGCCGCTGTTCTTGACCCCGTACCCAACTGCGCAATGCCTGAACGTATGCATCGGATGCCTGGAAGGCCTCGTGAGCCGCTATGTTCTCCATGTGAGCGTAGTAGAGGGCCTTCGAAACTTGGTTGTGCTGCAGGTGTGCCGCCCACGGGGCTGCCGAAATCGTTGATACTTGAGGTAACCATCGGGAGTCGGATGTCACGTAACTACCGATACGGAGGAGCAAATCACGCTTCAAGAAGAAAATATCTGCCATCACTGTCTTCAACGTCCAATCTGAAAACTGAAAAACCACTGGATGTCACAAGATCTTGATTGATATGAAAGTTTGCGAAAGTACGTCCGACATGCCACTTGACGTCACAGATCTTGAATGATATAAAGTTATGAAGGTATGAACGTATATGGAGGTCGTGTCGGGGTGTGGTGCACGTCGCCGATGTGGTGGACGATCCAACCTCCCCGAACACACACTTGTGATGAGTACGTAAGTGAACGAATACTGGGTTTGTGGGCCTCGTGAGGGGCTTCGCCAGGGACAGGACCAGCTTTTCCGAGCACCCGCGATTCGCCCAGTCCGTCAGAGACCAACACGTGTATGCACCTCGCCTCAGCAAGGTTTGAGCTGGCCTCTAAACCTCTGACGAAAAGGCTTGACACAAATTGGCTGTGGTCAGCGCAGCGAGGCAAACAGAGTGTGAACGGCTTGCTGTCTGGCAAGGTATCCCAGGCCGAGGCGGGCCAGGAGGAGAGGGAGCAAGCGGGGCACAAGACGGCGGAGACAAGAGGAAGACAGCAGCCAAGAGGACAGGCGAGGAGGAGGAAGAAAAGAGGCTGCGCTGGCAAGCCCACGAGGTCTGAACAACCTCAGAGCCCTTGGGGTCCTAGGGCGTGGATTTCCCATACACAACCTAGGTCTCCTGCCCTATGCAGGAGGTTCCCAAAACAGAGAAAGTCAAGCTTCTCTCTCAGATGCGTATATAAACCGAGGGTGTATAGACACGGTATGTGTGGCATGTGGCTTCTTAGGCCTCAAATAACTGAGGGCAGTCTTGGAAGCTGAAAGTCAAGAAGCACACGCACACACACACACACATACACACACACGCACACGCACACGCATACGCACACGCACACGCACGCACACACACACACACACACACACACGCACACACACACACACACACACACACTTTCGGAGGTCCGCGCGGATCTCTTGGATCGGCGCTGGGCCCCACTCCCTGGCGCGTGGAGCGCCTCAGGATCCGAATACTCCGCGCGGAGCTCTGGGAGTACATGCTTACGGACGGGAACTTTTGCTTAGCGTGTCGCCGCGGCGGCCCCGGCTACACGCTGTGCCCTGCGAGCGGCTTGCGTCTCGCTCCCCTCCGCGGGGCGGGAGGCCCGGAAAGGCTCGGAACGTTGAAGCCTATAGGGGACCAGGAAGTGGACAGCGGGTCGCGCCGAAGCGCGGTGAGCCAGAACCGGGCGGCGAGTCACGCCGTCCGAAGATGCCAGACCGTGTGCTGTTCTTCCTTCTTCGAGCTTCGGCCTCCTCCTCCTCCTCCTCCTCCTCCTCGTCCTCCTCCTCCTCCGCCTCCTCCTCCTCCCGACTCCTCGTCCTCCTCCTCCTCCTCCGCCTCCTCCTCCTCCTCCTCCTCCTCCTCTGCCTCCTCCGCCTCCTCCTCCTCCTCCTCCTGTCCTCCGCCTCCTCCTCCTCCTCCTCCTCAGCCTCCTCCTCCTCCCCCCCCTCCTCCTCCGACCGACTGTGCTGCCGCCCCCCGGCTTCCGCCCGCCCGCTGCCGGGGCCGGGCCTCTGCGCCCCCTCGTCCGCGCAGGGCTCAGGGCAGTCCCCGACGCCCCGCGCGTGCAGCACCCGCTGGAAGTCCCGGAAGCCGGACTCGAGGCCGAGGCCGGGGTAGTCCTTCTAGAGTCGGGCCGGACGGAAGGGGGGGGGATAGGGAAAGGGCCCAGACCCCCTGGGGGATAGGGAAAGGGCCCAGACCCCCTCGAGTAATGAAAAAATCATGACGGGAGGTTTTTCCTAATTTTCGGCCTCCGGGGGCCCTCACCGGGCCTCGGGAGCGTCAAAAAACGACTCAGGATGCAAAGCCGGTCATGGGGAAAGGGTCGGGACCTCTGGGGGTCGACGTAACGAAAAAATCATTACGTCGGGGGTCTGGGGGGGGTCGAAATCTGCTGCATGCAGCTGGTTCTCAAACGCGAGCTGATTCTCCCCCCCCCCTTTGCTATCTCCCCCTTTCGCCCATCCCGATACAGGTGGCGATCTCCGCACCCCACCCCCCAGTTCTAGGGGAACAAGAAGTGACATAAACATAAAACTCGGAGGTCCGCGCAGATTTCTCGGATCCGCGCTGGACCCCCCTGGCGGCGCCTCTGGCGCCGCCCCTGGCGCGCTGCGCTCCGCGCGCCAGGGAGAGGGGTCCAGCGCCGATCCGAGAAATCCGCGCGGACCTCCGAGTTTTTATGGTTATGTCACTTTTTGTTCCCCCCAGTTGACCCTGGGTAAGAGTGACCTTTGGTGCGCGACTTTTCGGGTGCCGCGGGGGGACCAAACCTGGGCGCGCAATACAGCTGCTACTGCCTCGTTTTTAGCCGTCTGGGGACCCATCTGTGCCCGCACCAGAGGTCACTCCGGCGAAAGGTCACTCTTACGTCTAGTCGACCAGTCCCCCTCGGGCCATGAAAAACACATCATGGCGGGAGGTGTCTCTATTCTCGGCCTCTGGGGGCCCTTCCCAGGCCTCAGGACCGTCAAAAGACGACTCAGATTGCAAACCGCTCCTGGGGAAGGGGTCCAGACCTCAGGGGGTCGACGCTTTGAAAAAATCACGACGTCGGGGGTCTGGGCCCCACCAGACATCGATTCTCCTGAATCGATGGGAGGCGGGGTATAGGGTCGGATTTCGCCACGTGTTCGACGAATTCCAAACCCTAACCCCGCCGCCCATCGAGTTGCCTGAATCGTTGATGGGCGAAGGCAGGGTTCAGATTTCGCTGCCGACCTGTGGCTTCTCGGTGAGCCCCTGCTGCATGCCTGACGGAAGCGGAACACCAACTAAACAGACCGCACAAGCACAAAACTTTCGGAGGTCAACAACCTGTTTCTCCACGCAAACCGGGAGCAAGGGAGGAGATCAGGCCGCAGCCCGTGGGGAGAGACTGCCACAACGTCCACACCAGGGCCAAGAACTGAGTAAGAGGAGGAAGAGGACACACACACAACACAACAGACCGCACAAACACAACACTCTCGGAGGTCTGCGCAGATCTCTGAGCGTGTGTTCATGCCGTCTTTCTGCCTCGGAGAGAGAACCCTCCTCCTGCTCTTCCCCCCTCCTTCCCCCTCCTTTCCTTCGAGGGCGCTCCTCCACCGTTCCCTCCGCATCCTGCCAGAAGGGGGGGGGGGGCAGGGGGAGCAGGAGAGGCCAGGTGGAAGCAAGAGGCTGGCGAGGGGCGAGCGCGGGGCGATCGGGACGCGGAGAGGCGAGAGGGGGGAAGAGAGGAGCGGGAGATCGAAAGGTCGGAAGGAAGAGCAAGAGGAGAGGGAAGGGGAAGGGAGAGGAACGGGAGATCGAGGTGTCGGGAGACCGAGGGGCCGACGGGTCGGGAGGCAGCGGAACAGGTGATCGAGGAGTCGGGAGAGCGAGAAGAACGGGAGCTCGGCCGGCCTTGGCTGGCATAGGAAGAGCCCAAGACATGACATCAGACATCAGAGGCACGAGGAACAGCGGGGGTTGGGAAGGCGGAGGTGGTGGCGGAGATGGAGGTGCAGGAGGGAATAAGAGTGCTCGGGGAGTCGTAGATTAGCATACGGGTCCTGGAGGAAAGAGGTCGTGGATCTGCGCCGCCGTTTTCGCGCATCGGGGGGCCGCTCACGAGCCCCAGGACCATCAACAAACTACCCAGGATAAAGAGATGGCCGCGGGGAAAGTCCCGAGGTCTACCACCCGTTTCCTTCGCGGCCGAGTGGACGCGGGGGCAGAGCCAGAGGGTGAGCCAATCACAAGGAACATCGTCCTGGACGGCCCCAGGAACAAGAACAAAGCGTGAGCCTCCAGCGGGGCTCGCCCCTCCCCCCCCCCCCCCCGGCCCCCGGGCTTGCAACAAAAAAACCCTGCGATCCCCACTCTGCAACCCCTCGGCCAGCCCCCCTGTTCTGCACCCCCCCCACGAAATCCGGGCACGCAGACCCATCTGCACCTCCCCCCCCGGGTGAAGCCCTGGCCTCGCCGGCTGACCTGCCCATCCCGAGGGCGGGGCCGGGTGCCGCCCCAACTCGGCCCTCTGCGCTGGCTCGGACAGCAGGCAGCCCTGCCACGCGCGGGGCCCAGGCTGGTGTCTCGGAGCGGGGCGAGTGGAGGCAACGCCGACCAGCCACAACTGGGGGAGCTGTGGTCCTTACCCCCCTGGGGGAAACCATCGCGTCGACGATCTCTCGAGAGGGGTGTCGAAATCGATGGGTTCCCCAGGGGGGTAAGGACCACAGCTCCCCCAGTTGTGGCTGGCCTGCAGCGGCAGCTCAAGAGGGGTCCTGGGACCCCTCCTGAGGTCCAGGCGCACCAGTTTTCCAGGCAGCGCCCAGCAGTGGCGGCGAAGGTCCGCCCGAGAAGGCCAACTACTGCTGCCTCGACTCACCCTCCTCTGAGGGCTGGGACGCTTCCAATTTTCGGTGTCAGGTGCGTTTGGACTGCCGCGTCTGGCTAGGAAACACCCGAGGCACTGACCACGCAAAATGAAACTATGGTTCTACCAAACACACACACACACACACACACACACACACACACACACACACACACACACACACACACACACATATATATATATATATATATATATATATATACGTAGCACCCTGCAATTACGGATAAGAGTGAGGGGGCGGGCGCGGGCGACGCGGGCGTCGTCGAGCCGGCGGACCTCGTGGCCCCCACTTTCCCTGTCGATGGCGATCTCCTCCTCCTCCCTCCTCCTCCTCCTCCTCCTCCTCCTCGTCCTCGTCCTCATCGTTATCGTCATCCTCCTCCTTGTCCTCCTCCTCTTCTTCCTCGTCCTCCCTCTCCCCCCCTCGTCCTTTCATCATCGTCCTCCCATTGTCGTCCTCCCCTTCATCGGCCTCCATCATCGTCATCCCATTGTCGTCCATCATCATCATCATCCTTCCCCTCCTCTCCTCGTCCTCCTCCTTCCTCCTCTCCCTCTTCCTCCCCTCTCTCTCTCCTCCACATTATCCTTACATCCTCTCTTCTTCCGCGTTCTCCTCGTCCCCTGTTTACTCCTCCTGCCTCCCCCTCCTTTCCCAAGATAACTGAAACGCAATCCTTTTTTCCACTGTATGCTCCCCGCCTTCTCTGATCAAGGCAACTCGCCAGGGCAAAGTTGCTGGACGGGCTGGTGAGTATGCGCGGGGCTTGAAGAGGTCCTTGCGGGCTCAGGCGGCATGCGAAAATCCGCCGCCGCGTTTGTGCGGCATTGGTTTGTTCAGTGAACGTGGTTTAGGTCGCGGGTGGGTCGCGGGCTCTCCACCTCCACCTGGAAGGAATGCAAAAGCAGCCCGCCGCAGGCGCCAACAAAAATTGGTTTATACACTGAACGTGGTTTGGGTCGCAGGTGGGCCGCGGGTTCTCCACCGGGAACGAATGCAAAAGATGCCCGCCGCAGGCGCCGAAAAATGTAGTTTGTACATGTTTGTACCCTGAACGTGGTCGCGGATGGGCCGCGGGCTCTCCACCTGAAACGAATGCAAAAGATGCCCGCCGCAGGCGCCGAAAAATGTGGTTTGTACCCTGAACGTGTTTTGGGTCGCGGGTTGGTCGCGAGTTGGTCACGGGGTGGGTCGCGGGCTCTCCACCTGGAAGGAATGCAAAAAAAGCCCGCCGCAGGCGCCGAAAATGGTGGTTTGTACCTTGAACGTGGTTTGGGTCGAAGGTGGGTCGCGGGTGGGTCGCGGGGTGGGTCGCGGGTGGGTCGCGGGTGGGTCGCGGGTGGGTCGCGGCGCGCGGGCGGGTCGCGGGGTGGGTCGCGGGGTGGGTCGCGGGGTGGGTCGCGGGGTGGGTCGCGGGGTGGGTCGCGGGGTGGGTCGCGGGTGGGTCGCGGGTGGGTCGCGGGTGGGTCGCGGGGTGGGTCGCGGGGTGGGGTCGCGGGGTGGGTCGCGGGTGGGTCGCGGGTGGGTCGCGGGGCGGGTTGCGGGTGGGACGACGACAACAAACAACAACAACAAACAACAACAAACAACAACAACAACAACAACAACAAACAACAACAACGAGAATCCGCACCGCGGAATTCCACTTCAGCCACACACCCAAGGACAGTGAATGACCGTTCGGCCCCCTCACTCTGATATATATATATATATATATATATATATATATATATATATATATATATATATATACGTAGCAGCCCCCAGATGCGGGTAAGAGTGAGGGGGCGGTGGGGACGTCGGCAGTTTGCGAGACTCTGGAGAAGCCCGCCGCAGGCGCCAAAGTTTCACACATTATACAACGAGCCCGCCGCAGGCGCCGATATTTTCGTTAAACCAGTGTGGGTAGGTCGCGGGTGGGTCACGGGTGTGTCGCAAATGGGTCGCGGGTGGGTCGCGGGTGTAGAGGGCAGAACATCCAACCCATAAGGATCACCCCTGCAAGCGAAGCCGTTCAATAAACGCACGCAATAATTGAATCGAACAGGGCACGGCTGTTTAGTCAACGCCCAGGGCCATATGTAAACATCAATTGTCGGGTCAGGGTGAGTTTTCATCCATCGCAGGTGGGTCGCGGGGTGGGTCGCGGATGGGCCGCGGATGAATGGCGGATGGGTCGCGGGGTGGGTCGCGGGTCGCGGGGTGGGTCGCGGGTGGGCCGCGAGTGGGTCGTGGAAGAGTCGCGGGGTGGGTCGCAGGTGGGTCGCGGGGTGGGTCGCGGGTGGGTCGCGGGGTGGGTTGCGGGGTGGGTCGCGGGGTGGGTCGTGGGTGGGTCGCGGGGTGGGTCGCGGGTGGGTCGCAGGTGGGACGACGACAACAAACAACAAACAACAACAACAACAATAACAACAGCAACACCAACAACAACACCACCAACACCAGCAACAACAACAGCAACAACAACACCAACACCAGCACCAACACCAACAACAGCAACAGCACCACCATCACCAGCAACAACAACAACACCACGAACAACAGCAACAGCAACACCACCACCAACAACATCAACACCAACAACAACAACAACAGCAGCAGCAACAACAACAACATCAACAATAACAACACCACCCAAAACAACTACACCAACAACGACAGCAATAGCAACAACAACAATCAATTTAAGACTGTTCGCCCTTATCTGCTCGAGTGTCCAATAACGCCTATTTCCCAAACCCTCGATACCCGCCCTCTTCGTCTTCGATCGAACCCCTTTTTGGGGGTATACCTTTCTTCCCTGCAGGCCAGGCCCCGGCAAGCGGCGGGGCGGCCGCGGACCGTCGGCCTGGCCAGCGGCAGCGCTGATCGGCGGGGCGGCCGCGGACCGTCGACCCGACCCAAAGAGGGACGGACAGGGGACCGACCACGACGACGACGACGGCGACGACGAGCGAAAGTGAGAGCGAAAGAGAACGACAGCATGGCCACAAGGACACGAAGTAGGCCACGAAGGGCAACAGCGGGGACACGAAGGGAATGCGTATGGGGCCACGAAGAGCGCGAACGAGCGGGGCCACGAAGGGCAGATAATGCGGGGCCACAGAAGGCAACGATGGGGCCACTGAGGGTAGCAACTGAGCCAAGTAGGACAGATGCATATGGGGCCACCACGGGCGCGAACGAGCGGGGGCCACTGAGGGCATAACTACATATGGGGCCACGAAGGTCAGCGAGGGGGCCACAAAGGGATGCAACGGGGCCACGAAGGGCAGCGATGGGGGCCACGAAGGGCTGCAACGGGGCCATGAAGGGCTGCGACGGGCCACGAAGGGCAGCGAGGGGGCCACGAAGGGCTGCAACGGGGCCACGAAACAAAGCGAGGGGTCCACGAAGGACTGCAACGGGGCCACGAAGGGCAGCGAGGAGGCCACGAAGGGCTGCAACGGGGCCACGAAGGGCAGCGAGGGGGCCACGAAGGGCTGCAACGGGGCAATGAAACAAAGCGAGGGGGGCCACGAAGTGCTGCAACGGGGCCACGAAGGGCAGCGAGATCCCCATTCTTCTGTAATCTGTGAGGGGGTCCTAAGCGTGAGCGCGACTCCTGGGTGCCTGGGTGTCGGGAGCGCGGCGCTTGAGTAAATTGCAGGAAATTCCAACGCAAGGGCGCTATTCTTCAGCAAATTGCAAGCAAATCTCCAGCGAGATCGCGACTCCAGAGCGCCGGGAGAATCAATTCTAAGGAAGTCACAAGCGAGAGCGCGATTCCTGAATAAAACGCGAGGAAGCTCGGGCGGGAGCGGGGGTCCTGGCTAAATTGTGAGGAAGTCTTAGGCGGGAGCCGTTGTTGTTGTAAACCGGGGGCCAACGACACAGTGTGACCCTCAAGACTTTCCCGGATAAAAAACAGAGTGCGAGCCCCGGGAAGGGCACTTCAATTAAAAAACAATGTGCACTGGACGGGGGGATCAACAATAATTATTCTTCAGGAATGGGAGTTCAACAACAACAACAACAGCAACAACAACAACAACAACAACAACATCAGCAACAACAACAACAGCAGCAGCAACAACAACAACAACAATAGTACCAACAACATCAGCAATAACAACACTAACATCAAGCACAACAGCAACAACAACAAATCCAACAACACCAACAGCACCAGCAACAACAACAACAACACCAGCAACAACAATACTAACAACAACGCAGTAAACACAGTTCTCACCACGAATTCCTTATTCAGGCATGCACCCAGGGACAATGAATGACCGTTCGGCCCCCTCACTCTGATATATGTTGATAGATCAGAGAACAAAAGAGGAGGAGGAGGAGGAGGAGGAGGAGGAGGAGGAGGAGGAGGAGGAGGAAGAGAGATACAGAGAGAGAGAGAGAGAGAGAGAGAAAAAAAAGAGAGAGAGAGAGAGAGCGAGAGAGAAGGGAGGCGAGGGGACAGCAGCGGAAAGGAAGAACGGTTGAGCCACAGCCCAAAACGCGGCACCCCACAAGACCGCGCTGTAGCAGTACTCGCCGTCCAGAGCCGTGTGGCAGTCGGGGCCGCCGAGATCGGAGCCCTCGGCCAGACCCAGCAGCCCCTGCCGGGTGGGGTGGGGGGGGGGGCGGCCCGGAAGGCTCTCCTCCGAGGCGCGCTGCAGTGGCCGGGGGGGGGGGGGAGGGGCACAGCGGAGACATGGCCACAAGTAGAGGCCTCCCACATGGGGTCCCAGCAGATGGGGGCGGAGGATCGCGCCGTATCGTCGATGCATTACCGATGAATCCTCGATGCGTCGGCGACGTCGGCGATGCATCGGCGACGCCGGCGCGGAGCAAATCGGGCTCCACATCGAGCCGCATCGCCGACGCATTGGCGATGCGGCGCGATCCTCCGACTACATCTGCTCGGACCCCATCTGGGAGGCCTGGAACAAGGGGATGCACCAGGAACACCAAAAGCACCCTTTGATCAAGGTCCGAGGCCGCGTGGGGGTGGCCAGAGCGAAGAACACTCCAGGGTGGTGGGGGGCCAAGGCACGAAGAACAGAAAAGGTACAGCCAACCCGCATAGCAAGGATACGCGGTAAGGATGCCAGGGCCTGGGAAGGCTACGTCGACACTCTGCGGGCGGGGCGCGGCCAGCCAAAGCGGCCAAGGATGGGCCGAAGGGGAAGGATGCGCAGGGGTAGCTTGGAAAGTCGCTCATCCTTACTATGCGGGTTGTCTGTACCCGTCGATGGCTGGGGTTGCTCTCACCCCTCGTGCCAGCTGTGGCTCCCGCTCACGCCTGCTGGGTTTGCTCTCCCTCTCTCTCACCCCTCGTGCCAGCTACATCTCTTGCTCACTCCCATGGGAGCCTCCTGGGCCAACCCCGGAGGGCTGCAGGCCCTGAGGCCTGCCACGGTCTCAGAGATCTGGACCTCTTCATGGGGACCGGCTGGCCCGAGTCGTTTGCTTACGGTCCCAGGTCCTGGCGAAGGCCGACGGAGGCCGAAAGCTTTAGGTCGGGCGTGTCCCCCTGCAGGCGTATTTTGGGCGAAAAGTGAGACATACTAAACAATTACCCCAGTGCGACCCTACCTAGAAATTGGAGCCCCTAGGAAAGCAACATTAGTTGCTATGCTATGCTCTGCTCTGCTATGCTATGCTGCGCTGTGCTATGCTGTGCTGTGCTGTGCTGTGCTGCGCTATACTATGCTATGCTATGATGCGCTATGCTATGCTATGCTGGGCTATGCTATGATATGCTGTGCTGCGCTATGCTATGCTACGCTATGCTATGCCGTGCTCTGCTATGCTAAAGCTCAGCGAAGCTAAGATGAAGGTAAGCTAAGATAAGATACTCCTGAGCTAAGATAAAGCTAAACTAAGCTAATATGAAATAAGCTAAGCTAAGATGAGATAAGCAACGCTAAGCTAAGCGGACGTAACTGGGGGAACCGCGGGGCGGATCCTAGGGGAACCGCCCGGGGCGGGTTCCACTGCCCGGCCCTTTAAGCATACCGAGTAAGAACCCTTCTAGGCAGAGCCTAGGTAGGGAAATACCCCCGAATAGTCAAACAATAACCCCAAAATAGTCCCCAGAATATTTTTGACTATTTCTGCGCATTCCTCCTGTAGAGGGACAGGCTGGTCTTGACGGAAAATGGTTCAACACCTCCCGTGGTGATCCTTCCACGACGCGTCTGGGGCAACGTCCGGAAACATGGGACCCACTCCAGAAGCTCGGACACGAAAAAACGCACATCTGCTGGGAGCTATCCGTTTCTTCTGCCTGCTTCCGCTGGCCTGTCGCCGGCTTCCACCAGCGAAGCCGCACCCGTTGAGCAGGGACCGACCGTCCCGGCATTCCTATAGTCCTACCACGAAATGTTCGTAGAACCCAACAATGGTCCAAGAACAAAAACAGTGTTCTTAGAACATAAGCCCGATGTGATAACACAAGACAGCCCCAGCCGGAAATGTTCTGAGAACACTTCGTGGGAACCACAAAAGGATCTTGGAACATTGGTTGGTAGGACGATGGGCGAGCCAGGACGCTTCGCCACTGCTTGAACCCGTTGTACTGCCGCCGCCCTCCGCCGGCCTTCCGCCGAGGACGAGGCGTGCCGGCCCCCCGCGCCAGAGGCCCGGGGCCCAGGCAGTGTACTGCACGGGGGCGGAAGGTGGCGAAGCAACTGCCGACGAGATCGCTGCACGACGCGAAGGGAACTCGGGCTGGGCCAAAGGGGGGGGATAGCAAAGGGGGGGGTTCAGAATCAGCTCACGTAGCTGATTTTCCCGGCGCCCATGTATCGAGGAATGGGCCCGGCGGGGCCGAAACCAACTGCATGCAGCAGATTCCGTACCCCCCCCTTTCCCTATCCCCCCCTCTCGTTCGGCCCGAGAAACCTGCGGGAACCTCCGCGAGTCCCAGGGCTCCGGAACCACTGAACTCACAAAAGCCTGCCACCTCGCAATTAAGTGGCAGCCGCCCTCGCTTCACCCTGCTCTTCCTCCAGGACCCGCTCTGACGGTCCCGCGGCCTGGCGAGGGACACCACCAAAGGCCGAAATTGGCAAAGCACCTCCCGTCGTCACTGGTTCATGGCCTGGGTTCGATCGTCGAAGGCGAGGCCCTTCCCAGAATGCCTCACGTCGTGTGAGGCAGCGCGGGGCCGCCTCCGCGCCGGAGCAAGTTCGCCGCCGCCTCGCTTTACTTCTGCCGGTGTCCGCCGACCTTCCGTCGTCTTCCACCGAAGAAGAGCTGCCCTGATCCTCCTGTGGCAGCTCATGGGAGCATCCCACGCCATGCCTCCCATGCAATCTTGCTGGCTCTTGGCAGTCGACACTCACCGACGCTAGTCGACGCTAGATCGATGGCAATCGACACTAAATCGGCGCTTCCTCATCGATTACCAGACGCCATCTGCGCAAATTACTGCACCATCTAAAAGGCGTAATGGCGAGGACGCAAGGGGCTCCCGTGATTTGCTATCGAATCCTCCGATCATCGGAGGCGAGGCACCTCATGGCATGACTCACGTCATCTGGGACGCCCGAATTGGGTACGAAAAAATAGGTACAATGCCAATCAACTAATGTTGTTCCAGACCGAATGCCTCTTGCCTCACATGGACACAGGCCGCGGCGGCGCGGACAGCGAGTCCTGCTGGTGGGCATTGTACCCATTCTTTCCGTACCCATTGTGTTCGTAGACGAGCGCCTTCCACTGCTCGCAAAGTGACTGCTCGCAAATGGCCTGGATCCCCCGCGGAAGATCAGTGATATAAACTACCTCGAAGCAGACACGTGCTCTTCGGACGTTTGCGAGTAGGCACTCTGCGAGTAGGGGGAGGAGGAGGAGGAGGAGGAGGAGGAGGAGGAGGAGGAGGAGGAGGAGGAGGAGGAGGAGGAGGAGGAGGAGGAGGAGGAGGGGGAGGGGAGGGGGGGGGAGGGGGAGGGGGGAGGAGGAGGAGAGGAGGAGGAGGAGGAGGAGGAGAGGAGGAGGAGGGAGGAGGAGGAGGAGGGAGGAGGGGAACGCGCTCTCGGTGAGCTCGTGCCGAATCGTGTGAGGCAGCGCCCGGGGGCCGCCTCCGCGCCAGACCGGCCCGGCTGCCGCGGGCCGCCCCCGCGGCGGGCCGCCGCGGAGCCCCCGGCACGGCCTGCGCCGCCGAGCGCGGCGGCGCCGAGCGCGAGGCCGCCGGCCGCGGCGCCGAGGGCGCAGGCCGCCCGCGACAGGCTGACGGCCTCGGCGTGCGTCGCCATCCTCGCCGTCCTCGTCGTCGTCGTCGTCGTCGTCGTCCTCGTCGTCGTCGTCGTCGTCCTCGTCGTCGTCGTCGTCGTCGTCGGCGTCGGCGTCGGCGTCGGCGTCGGCGTCGGCGTCGGCGGCGGCGGCGTCGGCGTCGGCATCGGGCCGCTGCCAAAATGTGGCTCTCGCCTTAACGCCAAGCGCACTCGTCCTAAAACATCGACAAAGATGTAACGGATTGGGGCGTGACGTTTTCAGAATGTGGCTCTCGTCTGAGCGCCGCGCGCATTCGATCCAAAAACTTTCAAGAGCTTCACAGATTGCGGGCGGGTGGCTTTCAAAATGTAGCTCTCGCCTTAACGCCGCGCATATTAGTCTCAACGACTTGCAAGTGCTTCGCGGATCGAGGGCGGGTGGCTTTCAACATGTCACTCTCGCCTGAGCGCCGCGCACACTCGTCTTGCAAGCTTGCAGCACCGGTTCGACGGAATGCGGGCGGGTGGCTCTCCAAATGTGGCTCCCGCCTGAGCGCCGCGCACACTCGCCTTCAAACACATTGCATGATTTGCGCGGGTTGGACGAGGCTCCTTTTCAAAATGTGGCTCCGCCGCGCACATTCGTTTTCAGAATTTGCAAGAGGCTCACGGATTCCCTCCGCCAACGTACCAGAAAAGGGTGTTTCGAAACGGTTCTGCCAGGGCGCAGCAGTTACGCTGATTCGCGGTGTTGAAGTCCAGGGCATGGTGCGGATCGTTAAGACGCAAAACTCAAGTTCATTCGTGGCGTTGACCTCTCGAGAATGCTGTTTGAGCACGCTTCAGGATCTTCAAACGGTTGCCTCCCCACGGGGCACTGCCTTCAGTGGAAATTAATCCTTGTTGGGGTCTATGAAGAGAGAGCTTGATGGGAGGGTTTATTCCAACCTCGTTGATGAGTCTTGGGTTTACGCTGGTTTCCCTCCTCCTGCTCCTCTCTCTCTGCCTCTCTCTCTTTCTCTCTGTCTCTCTCCTCTCTCTCGCTCTCCCTGCCACTCTCTCTTTCTCTCTCTCTCCCCTGGCGCTATGCGGCGGTGCTGCCTGCACTCCCGCGCGCAGTTTATCGTGAACACACGAGGCTCTATTGTCAGGCCCTTCCGGTAGGAGATGTTTGAATCGGGACGTTCTCGGCCCTTGGCAGCCTCTGCATTGCTTCAAACGCGGGGCTCCAAAATGCTTCAGAAACGGTGCTCCCGCTGGCCACATGTCACGATCGGTGCTCTGCGCCCGTCATTCAGAATGGCGCTGTCGCCCCAGCGCGGGCCACACTTCTGGATCAGACTCCTTCCTCGCGGCGCCGTCCCCCTCCCTTCCCCTCCTCCGCCTTCCCCTGGTCTTCCTGTTGCTTCCCCTACTTCTCCTACTGCTGATCCCTCCTCCTTCTCCTTCTCATACTCCTGCTGCTGCTCCTCCTCCCCTTCCGCTCGTGCAGCAAGCGATGGGAGAACACCTGCACCTGCCATTTGGGGATAAAGTTCCTCTGGGACACCCTGGTCAGCGAACAGGAGAGGACTCGACGCAGCGGGAAAGGATGGGTGAGAGGGTGAGAGGGGTTAGGATGTCAGATGTTCGGGCACACGCTAAAATGAATTTCGAATCCGTGGACCTGGCGCGTGGGCGCTAGATCCACTGGATAGGGGAAGGCGTCCCCCCAAAACATAGCACCAGTGCCGCCTGATTTGTCGACGAAGCGTTCCGATTCCGCATGAAAGCGGGACCTGTTTCTAATCCACGTGCCTTAGTCCATGCTTGCGCTTCCTCGGCATGTGGCGCCAGCGCACCTAGCTTGTCCTTCGCCTCGTCCCCCACCGCTCAAATCTGACGAAAAGGGTGGTTTGCAACTCCGCTCGATGCCCCCATGAAGGCCCAAGGCAACACACACACACACTCACACACACACACACATCCACGCACACGCACACGCACACGCACACGCACACGCACACGCACACACACAGAGACACACAGAGACACACACATACACACAGACACACAGACACACAGACACACAGACACACAGTCTCACAGACACGCAGACACACACACACACACACACGCGACGAAGCCTCGGGCAACACTCTCCAATAGCCCCCATGCCGCACACATGGCATTTCTACAAGACCTTCTGGAACGGCTGGGGGATATGCACAGTCCAGCAGTGAGGCCCCGCTTGGGCTCGGTTAGCCGCGCAAGCGTGATCACGAGGGCAGTGAGAGGGTTGTGTGTTCGTTTTTGTTGTTGCCATGCGGCTCCAGCTGCAGAGATGATCGGAGACTGAGACAGCCGGCAGCGGGCAGTTGAGACCGGGCTCACCAGGGGCGACCGTGGAGAGCGAGGATGAGGAGGAAGAGAGGCAAGTAAGTGAGGCCCATCAGGGCAAGGGCTGGAGAGCGCGGGGCCTGGCTCACCAATCTTCTTGGCCCGGGCGGCACAGCTCTGTCCCCCATGAGGGGGGAGGGCGCTCGGCCCGTGCGATTCCTTGGAGACGGGTGACGGGGGCCCCCGACGGCGCCCATGGCGCGGCCCTGCGTTACACGTACACCGCGCCCACGGGCTCGGCGCCGCCGCCGCCCTCGGCCCCGAGCAGGCGACACGCGAGGCTCAGGGTCGTCCCAGTGCAACGGTAGACGATCTGCACGCCGCCCCTGCGGTAGGCGAGCGCGGGCTCCGCCTGCGTTCGCCGCCCGCCCGCGGCCTTCACCTCCACCGCGACAGCGCGGCCCTGCTCCGCTCCCGCCTCGGCCAGGTCCACGCAGCGCATCTGGTCCACGGCGAACTCCCCCGTGTGCCCCAGGGACCGCCCCGCCAGGGCATCCAGCGCGTCCGCCGAGAGCACAGCCGCCGCGTGGTTGAGCACGCAGACACTCTGCGCCTCTGGCGCGCCCTGCGCCGGCGCCAGCGACGCCAGGTCGCATCGGTAGCGCAGCGTGGAGCCGCTGCACACGAAACCGGCGGTGCTGGCGTTTGCGCTGTACAGCAGCGCTGGCTCGGGGAGCTCGTGCAGGCCGGCCAGCACCTGCACGCCGGGCCGCACTGCGCGCCCGGCGGGTACGGCGGCGCCGCCGATCGCGCCCGCGTCCATGCACTGCACCCTGTCGACGGGATACACGGGCGAGTAATCCGTCGATCTGTGCGCAGCACAGTCATGGAGCCGGAACCTCAGGTCGAACCCGCCGTTGTTGACGAAGCAGACGCGCGACGCCTCGAGCAGGGAGCCGTTGGGGCGCTCGAGCCGCGCGGGGTGCCGCGCCCAGTCGCAGACCTGGCGCCTGGGCAACTCACGAGGCGCCGCCATGTTGAGCGCGTCCCGGAGGCCCGCGGAGATGGCCGTGGGCAGCTGCGCCGTCACGAGCCGCTCGGTGGCGTTGGCCTCGAGCAGGCCGCGGAGCTCGCGCAGCAGCCGCTCCTCGAGGCCTGGGAGCAGGATGCCCGACGCCGACAGGGCCTCGAGGCGGTAGCCCTCGATGCCGATCCTCAAGTGCGACAGCCGCACCCCGCTCGCGTCCTCCGCGAAGAACAGCGGGTACAGCGCGCAGCCGGCCGAGGAGCGCAGCACCGAGCCCCACACCTCGCACATGCGGTCGGACCGCATGGCCACCACCAGCCCCAGGTCCACTGTCGGCTGGGCCAGCGCCAGCAGGGCGCAGACCGCCACCTCGTGCGCCACGCCCTGCGTGCCGGTGTTCAGCACCAGGCCCCCGCACACCTCCACCTCGAGCAGGTCGAGCGCGGCGGAGGACTCCCAGGTGAAGAGCGACCCCTCGTTCAGCCACAGCGGCCGCAGCTTCGTCCACCTGTCGAGGTCGAACAGGGTCACGTTGAACAGCTCCATGCGGGCTGGCAGCTCGAAGCCCAGCCGCTCGCGCCGCGCCGCGCGCGAGGCTTCGACCCCGACGGCCTGCAGCTGGACGCTGGCGTTGAGCGGGATCGTGAGCGACGAGTTGGGGAGCAGCACCGGCACGAGGTCGTCCACCAGCCAGGTCGGCAGCGCGTCCACCAGGCCGGCGAGGAGGATGTACCGGCGCGCGATCGGGTCCCTGCGGTAGTCCAGCAGCTCCCCGAGGTAGGGCTCCAGGTACCTCTCCTCAGAGTCCCGAATCATCAGGGGTAACTCGGGTCAGGGCTAACTCGGGTTCCTTTTCCGGAAATCCAAACCCGCGTCACCCCGGGCCCGAGTTACCCCAGATGACTTGGGCGCCCTGTCTCCCACTCGGCCAGCTGCTGCCCCGCGCCGCGGGGGGCCGGCCACAGGCACGGCCACAGCGCCGCGAGCACGGCGGAGCCGCGCGCCCGCCGCATGGACCACACCCGGGGGGGCGGGGAGGGCGGCGGCGGGTCGGGCAGTCTGCCCTCTCGCAGGCTGGGCGCGGCCCGAGCCACACTGGCCACGGAGAGGGGGGGGCGGGCGGACGGGGGCAGCGGTGCCAGGTGGGGCCCGCTCAGCCACGGTGCGTCGCCGAAAGATCGGCGAGGGGCCCCCGAGGGCGCTCAGGGCGCTGCTGGGCGGGGCGGGGCTAACTCGGGCCCCTTCTCGGCGACCCGTGGGCGATCTCGGGCCGATGCATCACCCGTGAGCCTATCCCCCCGGTGATCCTCGTCGTTCTTGGTTTTCTGGTCATAACTAGAATATCCAGCGGTCGTTCGGGACGAAACGCCCTCGGCGAGGCGCAGCCGCTGGAAGGCATCGCGAGACTGGAAACCGCCGAGAACAGACGAAAACGTCCAAAAACATCTAACAGTGGAGCCTTCTTGGATGCCTCGACCCCCTCTTGTCGGGGAGACGTAAGAACTCGAGTTTCGGGGACCCGAATTGGCCTGAAGGGGCGGTCAGACAAATGACGGGACACAATCTATCATTTGTCGCGAGCTCCTGCGGCAAACGTCCCACGACGACCGGGCCGTCAAAGGTCATGCTGGGACCGTCAAAAATCGAATGCGATCCCGAATCGTGGCAGACTCGAATCACACGTTCCCCTCATCTTGGCCGCCCCCGACGCTGCCCCCCAGCGCCCAGCTGCAGCGCCGCCCCCGCCTGAGGCGCACGCCGTCACGCCTCTCGGCGAAGCGCAGCTGTTGGAAGGCACCCCGAAGTTGGAAAGTCGCCAAGGACCGACGAAAACTTCCGAAAGCCTGGAACCTCGAAGCTTGCCTAACGTTAAGAGGTAAGGAAAACGACACAACCAACACCAAGGACCAGCAGCGGGAGGAGCCAAGGGGGTTCCCCTGGCGGTGTCCCCTCCCCTGGCGGTGTCCCCTGGCGGTGCGGTCCCCCCCCCCCCGCTCGAGACATCCGCTATCCGTATCCCCAGCTGCAGGACGCAACGAAGAACTCTTCGCTGGAAGTGGCCTCCCTGGTGGTAGTGCTGTCGTTTCCCATTCCTCTTCTGTGGCAACTCATGGGAGCTTCCTACTTCATCTCCCTGGCTCTTGCGAGTCGATGCTAACCGACGCTAGTCGACGCAAACTCGGGGCTAATCGACGCTAAATCGACGCTGTCTCAACGATTACCAGACGCTAGCGCACTCTAAACACGTAGCTCCGAGAACGTATTTTTGTAAGTCCGTGGGCGCTAAATGGTCATGGACAGTCAGACGCCTGTCAGCACGCGGTGGGAAGCACCCGAGGAAATTGAGGCACGAAGGCAGAAAAGACTGGGCGCGAGGGAGGAAACGGGAAGGAACCCGCTCAGACCATCAAAGTCGGCGCGGGGAAGCCGTGGGGAAGAACTTTCCGACGACATACAAGGCTCCCATGTGACGCACAAAGACATACTAATACTATACGTCCTCCTTGGAGGCGCGCATTTCGCCCGAACATATAATATACCCATCTTGCAATGTATCGCTTCCCGAGCGGTGTGGCCAGAAAGCGCCCGCCACGACGCATATACTACAAGATTTCTCGGTGCTCGCGTCGCCCCTGGCGGGACGACACACTTTTTGGCGTCGGCGGCTAGGCAGAGTTACTGCGCTGGCATTAAGGCCTTGGTGCGTGCACGAAACGCCAAAACTAAGCCACCATGCAGGAGGGGGAGGGAGGGAGGCGCCAAGCGGCGGCGGGAGGGAGGGGGGGCCCGCTCAGAGCGGGGCCAGGCGCGGCGGGTCGACACACACACACACACACAAACAACACACACACACACGCGCACACGCACACGAACGCGCACACGCACACGCACACGCACACGCACACGCACACGCACACGCACACGCACACGCACACGCACACGCACACGCACGCACGCACGCACGCAGGCACGCACCCACACACCCACACACCCACAGAAACACACACACACACACCACGCACGCACGCACGCACGCACGCACGCACGCACGCACGCACGCACGCACGCACGCACGCGCACACACAGACACACACACACACACACACACACACACGCACGCACGCACGCACGCACACACGCACACACGCACACACGCACACACACACACACCCGCACACACCCGCACACACACCGCACACACCCGCACGCACACGCACACGCGCACACGCACACGCACACGCACACGCACCGCACACGCACACGCACCCACGCACACGCACCGCACACGCACACGCACGCAACGCACACGCACCACGCACACGCACACGCACACGCACACGCACCACGCACACGCGCACACGCACACGCACACGCACACGCACACGCACACGCACACGCACCGCCGCGCACACGCACCGCACGCACGCACACGCGCACGCGCACACGCACACGCGCACACGCGCACACGCACACGCACACAACACACGCACACACGCACACGCACACACGCACACACGCACACACGCACACACGCACGCACGCACGCACGCACGCACACGCACACCACACACGCACACACGCACACACACACACACGCACACACACACCACGCGCACACACACACACACGCACACACACACACCACGCACACACGCACACACGCACACACGCACACACACGCACGCACAACGCACACGCACACGCACACGCACACGCACACGCACACGCACACGCACACGCACACGCGCACACGCACCCATGGTATCAGTATGCTGTAGTGACGCCGATCCCCTAATTGTTGCCCCCGAGCGATGCGCTGCTCTCCGACCACCCAGGGCTGCCCCGCCCGAGGCGCCCGCGGTCAAGGCGCCCCCCGGCGGCCGCAGGCGCCCAGCGGGCCCGCGCGCGCCACACCGGCGCCCGCCGCCGTAGGCGTCGCCGCCGCACGCGGCGCCGCCGCCGGTGGAGAGCAGGGCGGCGCTGGGGTCCTCCTGCAGGTCGGGGGCGTCGTAAGGAGGGGGGGCGTCCAAGATTCCCCCGCCCCCTCCCCCACCCACGACGCAGAGCAGCCGTACACCTCAACCACAAGCAGCGTTACAAGATCACCACGGCCAGGCTGCTCCTCAGCGTGAGACGGAGGAAAAAGGGATGAGGGGGGGGGGCAATCAAGAGGGGAGTTCGCAACTCATGGCCCGAGGCATGTGTGCGGCCCATGGGGGGGGGGCCAGGGGCCGTTACAAGATAAGGAGAGACGCCACGACATCCGAGGAGATATCATGGCCCTGGCCATGATATCTCGCCCCCCCCTAATCATCGCCCCATCGCCCCCCTCTTGGCCCCCCCCGAGCGGGCTGCGCGGCGGCGGACGCGGAGCGGAGCGGAGCGGAGCGGCTTCTGCCAAACTTCGGCCTCTCCCGGGGCCCTCACCGAGGCCCTCTGGGCCGTCGAAGGCGAAGGCCGTGCGCGCCCAGCCACGTACATGAACACGGCCCCCCAATCTGCGAGTGATACGAACGCTCGCGCAATACGTACTCTCGAGAAAAGCGCGGATTCATGCACGTCCACGTCCCACTTTCGCTCCTGACAGAGCGCCGGGAGTCCACGTGGTGAAACATTCGCGCGGGAGCATCAAACAGCGGTTCAGGGTGGGGTTCTCCTGCGAGGGGGCGCAGCAGCGCGGGGAACGCCAGGGTGACCGCCAGAGAAGGAGCCTGTGAGGTCCGCGCGGGTGGGCCGGAGCCCTCAACGATCGCTGTCGTCAACGATCGGCGCGTGGAGAGGTCAGGGAGAGGAGCACGCAAAGGGGGGGAGCGCTCGTGATCTGGCACCGGTATCCGAGAGGGTTGGTCGCACTCTGCCGCCAGTGTACAGTCGGGGCGTTGACCTAAGGAACCCTAAATAAGGAACGGGGGCCCTTTCTCCCATAAGTTGAACTTCGATTTCCCATGGAAAACATCAGGAAAACAGAAGGCAAACTGTAGAACCATCAAGGAACACCGAGCCCCTCCCCAACGAAAAGGGTTCCTTCTTCAGGGCCCCGACTGTACGTGGCGGTAGCGAGGGCGGTGACGGAGGGGGAGGCCCTCCCCCTGCCAACAGAAATCACGACGCCAGAATGCCGGGAAGGAGGGGGGGGGCCTCCCCAGACGTGGGGGCGCCGAAGCGGGGGGCCAGGAGGAGGGTGAGCAGCGCATCGTGACCCGGGGGCGCGTGCGCAGACGAGGGGTGTCCAGTGGACGCGTCGAACGAACATGAGGGGGCCATGACAGCTGGTAGATATCGTTGCCCCAGCCATGATATCGACACCACCCTGGTCCTCGGACGTCCCCCGTCGCGACTGACCCCCCCCGCGGCTCGAACAAAAATCGAGACGGCGGTTTCCTCACCACTGTGGCCCTCTGGAAGCCGCCCACAGACCCCAAGACCGTCAAGAAACGGCCATGGATGAAAAACAAGCCCTGGGGACGGGGACGAGACCTCCAGGGGGCCGTGTGTAGAAAAACGTCGCGCCGCTGGATCTCTGAGCCCCCCGTTCCCTCACTCCTCCTCCTCCTCCTCCTCCTCCTCATTACTCCTCCTCCTCCTCCTCCTCCTTCTCCTCCTCCTCCTCCTCCTCCTCCTCCTCCTCCTCCTCTCCTCCTCCTCCTCCTCCTCATCATCATCATCATAATCATCCTCCTCCTCCTCCTCCTCCTTCTCCTCCTCCTCCTCCTTCTCCTCCTCATCATCATCATCATCACTCCTCCTCATCATTCCTCCTCATCACCTCCTCTCCTCCTCCTCCTCCGCCTCCTCCTCCTCCTCCTCCTCCTCCTCCTCACTCCTCCCCTGTGTGGTAGTATTCTCCCTACTGCGATGTGCTATGCCTCCCTGCGATGTGCTCAGACATTGCACGACACACTGAACCAGATCTCGGGTGAGACCCACGACCTGGCTCTCAACACTTTTATGGACGACATCACGAAAACGTGCATCTTCCCACCGTCTATCCCCTCCAGGACATAGTCGAACACGTCAACGGTGTGACAGAACGACTAGAGAGCAAGCTCGAGAAAGGTCCGCCGGCCCCCTTGTGGGGCCACCAGGCTGCGAGGCGCGTGATTCGCAGTTTCCTGTACCAGTTGTAGTTTCTAGTTTCCAGTGTTACAGTTCTGCTTCTTGCTGGTTACTGTAACTAGTTGACTTCTTGCTGGTTACTGTAACTAGTTGATTGACCGCGCGAGGGGGGGGAGAGGCCCAAACAAGATTTCCCAGCGTCTGGCTGGGCGTTGAACTGTCTGAATTAGCGTGGGGGCTGCTCTCGAAATCGACACCCCTCACGCAGATCCGCGGGGTCAGGGTCCAAAAACACAGGGATTTGCCACATTTCTGAAATTCGGTGCCACCCCTCACGCAGATCCGCGGGGTCAGGGTCCAAAAACACAGGGGATTTGCCACATTTCTGAAATTCGGTGCCACCCCTCACGCAGATCCGCGGGGTCAGGGTCCAAAAACAGGGGATTTGGGATTTGCCACATTTCTGAAATTCGGTGCCACCCCTCACGCAGATCCGCGGGGTCAGGGTCCAAAAACACAAGGGATTTGCCACATTTCTGAAATTCGGTGCCACCCCTCACGCAGATCCGCGGGGTCAGGGTCCAAAAACACATGGGATTTGCCACATTTCTGAAATTCGGTGCCACCCCTCACGCAGATCCGCGGGGTCAGGGTCCAAAAACACAGGGGATTTGCCACATTTCTGAAATTCGGTGCCACCCCTCACGCAGATCCGCGGGGTCAGGGTCCAAAAACACAGGGGATTTGCCACATTTCTGAAATTCGGTGCCACCCCTCACGCAGATCCGCGGGGTCAGGGTCCAAAAACACAGGGATTTGCCACATTTCTGAAATTCGGTGCCACCCCTCACGCAGATCCGCGGGGTCAGGGTCCAAAAACACAGGGGATTTGCCACATTTCTGAAATTCGAACCCATCACGCACATCCATCGCAAGGCGTGGTAACCCAAACTGCGAGAACTCCCTCGGCCCTTTCATCGCAAGGTGTGGTAACCAAGCCCTTAAACCATACACGTCTTACCAATCGCCAGGTGTGGTAACCCCTCTTGTGATCAGTTGGTTTTGCTGATTGCGACTCGGCTTCGCATGAAGTTTCGATACTGCTTCACGACAGCGCCAAGGCCTCATGACTTAGCTCTTCAATGGCCCATTCTCCGAGAGAGGGGGCCGGCGGCAGAGGGCGAAGCCCTTACGGATAACTGGTGCCTCAACCCGCAAAAGACCAACCACCTACTTAACATACGAGGACCAGGCGCATTCGGCGTCACACGTTACATAAGAAAAGCAAGACGATCAAGGGCACCATACTGAGAGAGGTGAGGGTGCTAGGCCCGCATCTCCCCGGCGAGCAAGGGCTGTGAGGAGAGATGCAGAGAAGATGCGAGGCCGCCAGGCATGCATGGAGACAGGGGGGGTGCCTTCTGGCCCAGCAGAACACGAAAGCTGATAAAACGACGGATGTACACGGCTTTCGTGGTCGGCGCGGCCCTCAGTGGGCTTGCGGCTGTCGTCCCCCTGCACGTTTCATCAACGCCATCGACGCTGCACTTGCAAAGTACTTGGCGGGCACGATCAGGAGGAGGCATGAGCTGGACTAGGGAAGATGGCACGGCGCGAGGCTACAACACCGGCAGAGTGGTTCGAGAATGGGAGTTTGGTAGGAGTGCTGTTGCATTGCGAGTGCGAAGGCTGCGATGGTATCAGAGGTGGGCACAATACCCAAGAAATCACGGAGCAGTAGCAGCAGCAATCTTCGGGGAGTCTGCACTAGACCTGTCAAAGGGGAAGAGGAGGACCAAGGACGGATGCATCACGGCAGAATCGACGTCATGGGCACAACAACATCGTGATGACCTTACAGCCCTCGCGGCCGTAAGCGACGACGTGCGCCCATGGTATACCGACCGTACCTCCGACCGCAGCCTACTTACACCAGGCACACCAGATTGGTACAAGTGGAAATCGGTCGACCCCTCTAGTGCGCAGTGCAGCAGTGTGTTGGAGTATGCAGAACGAGGAGGACGGGGAGGATGTGTGTACAACGGAATCAGGGGAAGTCAAAATCTGTGGGAGGGAGGGAGGGAGGGAGGCACACGACGTCCGACAGTTAGTGACACAGCTCGTTATTACAAACCTGTGCCCATGGTGTCTGAGTAATTTCAGTAACACACGTACAGCTACCGACCATGCCACATGTGCTGCAGACCTGTGGGGGAAGTGTTACGTGGACCACAGCAAGTGGCAACTGTGGCTATACGAAGTAAATTAGCCTCGCCGAGAAGAGCTGGAGTGTCAGATCTGTAAGCAGCAGGCTCAAACCCTTGACGAGTTCCACTTGCACGTCAGACAGCATCACGTTGGTCCCAGTTCGGTGAGGTGCGCCAGAAATCAGAGCCCACACATCGACGGCGGCGGTGGCCTTGCACGTAGGAGCGCTACCGAAAGGGCAGAAACGAAGCGAGGAGGCGACGGAAGGGCAGGAAGCCGGATCAAAGAAGCACAAGGGCAACAACGGCGGAGGAGGTGGAGGAGGAGGACCAGGCAGTTCCACGGGCACTCTCGGCTTCGCAGGCCAATTCGCGGCCCTCCACGAGTTAGCGCTGAGGACCAGCCAGGAGACGAGGGAGCTGTTCCAGCTCACTGCGCTGTTCTGGCTCATCCCGATCATCAGCCAACCGTTCAAGGACATGGTGGGAGGGACGAGGAGAAGGGGAAAAGGAATAGGGGAGCGGAAGGGGTAGGGAGAGGGAGAGGGAGGGGGAGAGGGAAAGAGGACGAGGGGGGGAAAGGGGGAGAGGGACAGGGACACAGGACGGGCGAGGGGGGGAGGGAGAGGGAAAGAGGACGGATGAGAGGGATGGGGGAGAGGGAAAGTGGACCGGGGGGGGGTAAAAGCTTATGTCTTTTCGACGACGCGGTGGCCGCTGAGAAGCCGAGAGGTTCTGCTGCCAGATCCAGCTCGCTGCCTGGGCCCCGAAAAGGGCCCCCACAGGCTGAGAAGGGCAAGACACACCTTCCCGAGCCCAGAACCTCGAACCTCCCCCCCTTCTTACTGGCTGGAGCCATTGCTGGTCCACCTCAGACCTCCAGTCGACTCCAATGTTTGTGCCTGTTTTTCTCTTCGACTACGGTCGGACCCATGACAGAAGAACCTCCTCCAAGAACATGAGACCCTCCGCTGGCTAAGCGGAAGAGCATTCGAGGGCACCATCCCCCAGGACTGCACAAGAACATCCAACAAACACGAAGAACATCAGGGTACCCTCCCCGAACCGACCTCGACCTCATACCTCGGTCTGGCCTGTGTACCCCCCTCATCGCTAACCCTGTTCTCCGCCGCGAAAGCGGCGCCGCGCCTGCGGCAGCGGTGGCAGAGCGGGAGGCACTCCCGCCTTGGCTTCTCCGCCATGGCTCTCGGATCTCCGGCGGCCGTCTGGGACAATCCGGGCACCCCTGGGGCAAAGCCCTCGGCGAGGCGCGGATGCCGGAGAGCACTCCGCGGGGCTGGCAGACCGCCGAGGAGCGGCGGAAGCGTCCGGAGGCCTCGAACCTCGGAGCCTCTCGTGCCCCCCCAGAGCGAATCCGCCCCCCCCCCCCCAGCGGTCCGCCTGACCCCCGCCGCGAGAACGGCACCACGCCTGCAGCCACGGGGGCCGGGCGGGGCGGGGCGGTCCTCGTCGGCACCCAGCAGCTCGTCGTCCTCCCGAGGGGCCTCCATGTTCCCCGGCGAGGGGCCGGGCGGTGGCTCGAGGCAGGGCGGCCGCGGAGCACGAAGAGGAGGAGGAGGAGGAGGAGGAGGAGGAGGAGGAGGAGGAGGAGGAGGAGGAGGAGGAGGAGGAGGAGGAGGAGGAGGAGGAGGAGGAGGAGAGGGAGGGGGGGCTTGCATGATCATCGACCCCTAACCTTCAGTCGGGCCTGTCCCTCTACAGGCGGAATATTCAAAAATAGTTTAAGAAATAGTCAGTTTTGACCATTTGGGAATATTTTTGGACTATTTTTTTATTTTTCCTCCAAAATCCCCCTGTAGGGGGACAGGCCCGACTTCACCCTAGCCAGACAGGCATGACTCATGACTGCCCACGTTGAGCAGGAGTTAGCACCTCTCTGTCGCCAGGTGGTTCGTGGTGAGCCACGTCTACACCACAGGGCGGGGGGGGGGCTGGGAAGGGGCACGCCACTCCTCGACAGAAACCTTGCCCCGATGTGTGGCCGCCGCGATCGTCGCGGTGACCTCCCAAACCGACCCGAATGTTTGAATCGGGGCCGGACGTCGCGCGCCGAGGAGGGGCAAGGGGAGGCGAGCTGAGGAGGGAGGAGGGAGGCGTTCAGGAACCCAGGCACTCTCGTCGTCAAAAATTGCGAGGGGGTGGGGCTGTGGGGGGGGGGGGCTGGGGGGGAGGGGGGGGGGGGGGCGTGTTCTGCCTCAGAGGGGCCCTGGCCGAGCCCGCAGGACCGTCAAAGGCGCCTCGGGAGGACCCCCCCCCCTCTCCCCGGGAGAGGGGTCGGGGACCTCCTGCGGGCCGCGTCTTTGAAGGGGCCCCAGGACACACAAATAAATACACACAAATAAAAAGATTCCCCATATTTTCCCACATTTCTTGGGTTTCTGTCTCCCCCCCCACTTCCCATAGTTTTGCATATTTTCCTGGGAGTCGACGATTAATTGTGTCTGTGTGTTTCCTTCCCTCCTGAGTCTTGAAAAACACAAGACGTCGCAAGTCTGGGCGTGCGGGAGCGGGCTGGCAAGTCTGGGCTTGTGGGAACGGGTAGGAGTCACTCAGCTCGATTCAGAGGCCACTCAGACGGAGCAGTCAACTTGCCGTCGCTCGGACGTCCATTTCCCGTGCATGTTTCGATGTCGTGCGTGTCTTTTTGGCTCGATGGTCCAGGATGGTCCTCGATGGTTCTCGCCGAGAAAAAATGCGCACGTCCGAGCGATGCCAAGTCAATAGCAAACCCAGGACTCAACCGGATTAGGCCTGACCAGGCGGGATACGGGCTCATGCAGATTAGGCCGGCTTGGGAACGCGGATATACCAGCGCCGATGCCAAATCAACTCTCTCAATCTTTGCATCCTAAGATGTGGGGGGCAAGGGGGAGCGGGGAGGTCGCTGGGCAGCAACTAAGCTCAGCCGGGAAAAACTCGGCCAGACTGAACTCGACCAACAGAACTCGGCCAGGCTGAGCCTGGCCAGCTGACCTCAGCCGGGCTGACCTCAGCCAGGCTGAACTCGACCCAGCTGCATTCGGCCTGGGCCGAGTTCAGCCTGGCCGAGTTCAGCTGACCGAGTTTCGCCTAGCCGAGTCGTTCCCTTGTCGCTGAGGGGGCAGGGAGGTAAGGGAGGTGAGGGACCAGGAGGAGGAGCAGGAGCAGGAGGAAGAGGAGGAGAGGAGATGGGGCGGCAGACCCAGGGCGAAAGGTCCGCGGCTCCGGGAGCGAGCGCTGCTGCGTCCAGCCCCGCATCCTAGGAGCCCATGCTGTCGCACAGCAGGCGCACGCGATGAGGGATCGTGCTGCAAGAAATCGGCGCTCAGCTCCGGAGGGTGCCCTGGGGCTCCGCGCGACCACCGGGACACCCGCCACCGCGCCCCCGTGACACGCTGAGGCGCGGTAGAATGCCAAGTGCTGCCTGGCAGGGCTTGTTCCCCAATCAGTGCTTGCACTGAAGGGGGAAAGATTTGGCGAAAGATTCCCGCAATTTTTCGTAGCCGGCTGGGTTCCCGGGTTCCCGGTGGTTCCCAGATATTGGTTCCAAGCCGATTTCGGTGGGTGCTGGGTTCCGGGGCTCCCGGGTTCCCGGTCGATCTCCTCAGCGAAAACCATCCACTGATTGGGGGTTTTCTCTGGTGTAATGTAATTTCTAAAGCCCGCCCCCCCCGCCCCCGGCTACGTCAGGTTCGTGTCGTGCCGACTTCGGCGTTGGTTTCGGTCACCGCGGGGACCGTTCAACCCTGAACGATCGGCCGTTTCCGAAAGGTCCAAAGCATTCCACATCGAACGATTCTGGGTCGCCCGCGGCGTTCAACGTCGAACGCTGCTGGCGGGGTCGCCGCCGGTCGACACGGCACGAACCTATACCGTACCCGCATCTAGCCCGAACGTGCCCCTCCCCGCTCCTGGAGCTTCCTGTGCAGCCCGACGCCCCCCTGGCGCTCTCCCATAGGCGTCCAAGATGCTCGTCGTCGTCGTCGTCGTCGTCGTCGTCGTCGTCGTCGTCGTCGTCGTCTAAGCAAGCCGTCGTCGCCGCCGTCTTGGCCAGTCGTCATCGTCGTCCTCGTCCTCGTCGTCGTCGTCCTCGTCGTCCTCGTCGACGTCGTCGTCGCCGTCGTTGTCGTCGACGCTGATCGTCGTCGTCGTCCTCGTCGTAATGGCATCTACCGGTGCTCTCACGTCTGCTGGCACTGCCACTACCATCAGTACTGCCAAAACAGCTGCCCGCGCCCACCACGTTACGGCTACTCCCGCCACGGAGGCCGGACCTCCCCCTGGTAACGGACGCTACGGTGGGGCAATAGGTGTGTATATATATATATATATGTTTTTAACGATATAGACATATGTGTATACATATATATATATATATATATATATATATATATATACCAACGCACTCGCCCGGCAGCCTACATTAGCTTACGTTAGACTTCGAGACGTCGCACTCGCAGCTGCCAATCACGAATGACCAGGTTTTCCTCGGTCTCTTCTGGTTGGCCAATAGGCCACGGCAAGAATCCTCGTGTCTCAATTCGGGCATGCCCTCTCCCAGCACACGGAGCACGCGTGCCGCACGGCACAGCACATGTGCCAACACCTGGCGCACCGGCGCAAGACCGTGCCAGGCCCCGCCCCTGCCCCCTCCCCGGGCGGGCTTGCGCCCAACCTGCTCTGGAGGAGGTGCCGCCAGGTGGCCAGGGAGGAGATGCTCGCACACCCGCGGCCGACACGCCTCCGGACCGACTTGCCGAGAGGGTCCAAGGGCGAGGAGCAGCTCATCGGCCTCCAGCCCAACGCCCCCTCCCCACGTCTCCCACGTGCACGAGGGGCGGCGGGGCCGTCCTCAGTGCATCTCCCCAGGGGCGTCCTGTGCAGGCTCCCTGCTGAGATGGCTGACGACGGAAACAACGATGCCCCTCAAAGACCATGCCATCGTGCAGACGAGGCCGAACCGCACGGCGTGCAGGTAGAAGCCCCCGCACTGCACGTCCCTCCGATAGTCGTCGAACCACATGCGCAGCCTCCTCTTCCAGGTGAGCTTGCCCACTCGCAGCGCGGAGTCCTTGACAGTCCTGGGGTATATCGTGGGGTGGCGCCCCTTCCTGGCTGCAGCCTCCTTCGCGCCGCGGCCGGCGCGGCGCCGGCCCTCGTCCGGAGATCTCGCGCGGTTCTCGCTGCCCCTCCTCAAGGGCGGCTCGCCTCGCGGGCTATCTGCGGTGGTGGCTGCGGACGCGGCGACTGCCAGGGGAGCAGAGGCCCCGCCGCCGCTGTCGAGGCTCCGCCTCGCGCTGCCCGCGGCGACGTCGAACCTCCTCAAAGGCGGCTCGCCTCTCGGGCTACTTGCGGCGGTGGCTGCGGACGACGCGAGCGCCGGGGGAGCAGAGGCCCCGGCGCCGCTGTCCAGTCTCCGCCTCGCGCTGCCCGCGGCGATGTCGAGGTCGGCGAAGCCTCCGCGCGCCTGATCTGCTCTGCGGCGCGCCGCCGCCTGCTCCAGCGCACGGTCCGCCACCCTGCGGGTCGCGTCCGCGTCCTCGGCTCCTGCCTGCGCCACGGGGGCTGCCGCCGCCGCCTCGTCGCCCGCGCCAGCGCCCACCTCGGTCCGTGAGCGCCTCGACTCCGCTGCCTCCTGGGCCGGTGGCGCGGCAGCAGTCGGCGGTTCGGGCTCGCAGGCGCCCGCCTCCTGGGCCCAGCAAGCGGGCTCTTCCGCCATGCCCACGCAGTCCGCCCATGCGGGCCGCTCGAGCGCAGGCTGCTCGGGGCTGCTCCCCGGCGCGTCCACAGCCATGGCGGAGGGGTCTGCCAGAACCTGCGCCGTCGGTTCCGCGTGCTGTGCTGGGGGCTGCGCCCAGCTGCTCATCGCCTCCGGCGGGGGCTCAGGCGGCACTGTCGGATCCCACTGGGGCGGCGGGGGCTCGAAGAACACCTGGCCGTGGAGCTGGTTGTGGACCGTCTGCACGTGCAGGCTCCGCTGCTGCGAAATGTGCACCTGCTGCTGCATCAGGAGGGCCTGCTGCTCCATGTGCCGCTCCTGCAGCTGCGACTGGAAATTCTGCACGTGCATCTGCCGGAGGTAGGCACTGTGCACGTCCTCCTCGGAATACTGCGCTGGGGCCGCGGTGGCCAGGCGCACAGTGGCGGGAGCCACGGTGGCGGGAGCCACGGTGGCTGGGGCCACGGTGGCGGGGTGCCGCGCGCTGTGCCCGAGCACTGCGTCGGCGAGTCGGATGGACCGCTGGGGGCCCTGGCCCTTGGGCTCGTCGCCGGGCTCGGCGGGAGGCTGAGAATCCCTCGCGGACCCAGCCCGCGGGGCGCTCTCCGAGGCCGCTGCCTCCCCCGGCGTTTCGCCGCTCTCGTGCGGCTGCCTGGGCGCGGCGGGCTGCATCGCCAGGCCCTCGCTGGCTGGGTCACGCGGCCCCGGGGCTTCGCCGAGCAGGTCCGGGTCCGCGGCGTCCGAGGCCTTCGGCGCTCCCCCCCCAGGGGCTTCGCCGCCCTCGTGCGGCGACTCGGCCGCGGCGGGCTGCGTCGCCGGGCCCTCGCTGGCTGGGTCACGCGGCCCCGGGGCTTCGCCGAGAAGGTCCGGGTCCGCGGCGTCCGAGGCCTTCGAGCGCGCGCCGGCAGGTGCTGCGGCTGCGCCGTCGCCGCCGCCGCCGCAGGTGCCATCCACGGGAGCCCCCGTCTCCGGCGGGGGCGCCTGGTCGTGCGGGGGGCCGCCGCTGCAGTGGTCCTGCGAGGAGGGTAGGCCGCGGGTGGGCAGAACCCCCCGTGGCAAAGCGCCCTTTAGACCAGATCCTGGCAAGCACGTCGCGTGCAAATACCCGTCGGCTGCCAGAGCCTCCGGCGCGACCTGACCTTGCCGTAGTTTGTCCTACCTGTGCCCTGTGTCCCCCGCCACCCCCGTGGGTATCGAGATCCAGGCCTGACCTGACCTCCTTTGGTGAAAGCTGCCCAAAGGCACCCCCCACGCCCACGGCACCGCCCTCCGAGTACATCTCGACAGAATGCACTGCACCGCACCGCACCGCACTGCACTAATCGACGTGCACAAGATACCAAGTGATTGGGCAAGACACACCTCGATTAGCGTGCCAATGTCGAGTGAACCTGTGCAGATTTCCTCAGTCGACTTGTCTGGGGAGGCGTTATGTGAATGCCGGATTAACTAGTGGGCGCAAAGGTGGCATATACATTCACTTTCGGAGGTCCGCAAAGTGATTTCTTGGATCACCGCTGGACTGCCACTGGCGGCCCACTGGCGCCGCCGCTTCGCGCGCCAGGGAGCGTGGTCCAGCGCCGATGCGAGAAATCCGCGCGGACCTCCGAGAGTTGATGTCTATGCTGCCTGTTCCTCCTCGAGAGGAGGCCTCATCCACCGCGGCGCTGCGGTCCGTCGTCCCGACGTCCAGAGTAGGGGCGTTGGAACCCTTGGCCTCCTTGGACGAGCTGGACTCTCCCTGCGCCTGGGTCCCAAACTTAGCGTTGAATTGCGTCGGGTTCGTCACCTTCCGGCTCTGAATGCCAAGCGCACGCATCCGCCCGACGTAGTCCAGCAGCTCGTCGATCTCGGCGATGACGGAGTCCGAGATGGAGTTCTTCAGGCCCGCCACCAGCGCGGCGACGTCGTCCGCCTGGATGAGCTCCTCGAAGGCGCGCTGCAGCCTCGCGGCCCAGTTGTACCTCTCGTACTTGTCCCGGTTGAAGTTCCGGCACACCTGGTAGAACGACACGTCGGCCTGGTGCACGTACTCGCTCTTGAAGGGCCTGAGCGTCTCGAACAGCGACTTCAGGACGCTGAACAGCCAGTGCGTCAGCGCCTTGTACCACTCCTCCTCCTCCATGTACTTGCTCAGCAAGGCTTGCTCCACCTTCTCCCCGCTCGGATGGAACTCCGCGTCGCCGACGCCCCTCCAGCCGAAGCGAAAAATGAACGTGCCGCTGTGGTGCAGTTTCGAGAATGCCAGCTGGCACTCTTTCACCGTCAGGGCCCATATTCCTAGCGTCTTGCTCCGCACATGGACGCCCCTGTACATGACGTTCAGGCTCCTCTGCTTGAACATGTTCTTCAGGTACTGCGCGTCGGCGCACACGAGGTCGACGGAATTGTCCGGCGCCAGGAGATCGGTGCTCTGCAGAGGCATGATGTCCATCAGCTGCACGGCGAAGCGGTCGCTCTGGAAGGCCATGGCGAAGCCGCCCATCTCTGGAGGCAGCGAAACGCCCCAGCCTATGCTGTTGCAGCCGAGGATGTGGTCCTGCAGCAGGCAGCTGCTGAAGCCTCCAGGGGCGCACCCGATGTCCATAAAGCGGCACTGCGAAACGCCGTACTGCGCGTGTAGGGCGGCGCACGCGTGCAGCGACTCGCCCAGCGTGGTAAAATCCCGGTGGTCCCAGATCTCCTGCATGACGCCGAAGGACTTGTGGTAGTGCACCATGGTGTCTGCCTCGTTCTGCGTGTGGTCGTCCCATTCGGCCTGGCTCTGCTTGGGGAACCTTTTGCGGGAAGGAAGCAAATCATACAAAAAAAACCCAATCAGTGCATGGTTTTCGCTGAGGAGATCGACCGGGAACCCAGGAGCCCGGGAACCCAGAACCCACCGAAATCGGCCCGGAACCGAACATCGGGAACCCGGAACTGGGAACCCGGGAACCAAGCCTGCTACCAAAATCGGCGGGAAACTTTCGCCGAATCTTTCAGCTTCCGCTAGGACCCCTTCAGTGCAAGCACTGCCACCACCATAAGTTGGAGGGGGAGGGGGTCCTCCTCCTCCTCCTCCTCCTCCTCCTCCTCCTCCTCCTCCTCGTCCTCGTCCTCGTCCTCGTCCTCTTCGTCCTGCTTCTCCTCGTCCCCCACCTTCTTCCTGCCTCCAACTTTTGGTGGTGGTGGTGGTGGAAAACAGGCCCATCACTGATTGGGGAAGATACTGCATCCCAGCCCAGAATCGAATCGAGAAGTCGGATCGGCAATCGAAATGCATCGGATCGGCGGAAGTCGGCGGCCGAGTCGGGAGAAGTCGAATCGGCGGAAATCGGCAGCTAGTCGGCCTCCATTGAGAAATCGGAGCCCAAATCGGAATCCCAGGTCGAACCGAATCGGAATCGGAACCCCTCGAACTCGAATCGAGTCGAATCGGAGGAGCCGACATGAGCCCTGATACTGAGGGAAACGGGGCCTGGACCCAGGGGGGGCGTCCCCCCAGAGCCCGCCGAGCAGCCCCTCGCCTCCTGCAGCGGTCGCGGGAGGGCGACCGGGAGGGCGACCGCAGCGGGAAAGCTTCCGGAGCCGCTTCCCTCGGGAACCCTGCCTTTCCTATACTCCAGATTTCGTAATAAAAGGGAGGGGGTCTGGACCCTCCAAGACAAGCCATTTCAGACCTCCCCCGTGGGAGAACCCTCCAAAACATCGCCCCCGGACCCCCGAGGCCCTCCAAGATAGCCTGGAAGAGACCCCCCCCGAAATGAGACCCCCCTCCCTTTATTACGAAATCTGGAGTAGACATCCTCCGACATGATCTTTTCAATCTGCGGCCCCAGAGCTCCAGACCCCTATTCTCCCATTTCGGTGAGCCCAGGAGGCCAAAGCCAAGGAAACACACACCCGGATTGAAAGACACATGTCGTCGAGGCGTGGTGGGCGGCGGGCAACAGCGAGGGGCGCAAGGGGGGTGGCCTTTGGAATGAACGGCGCGCTTCTTAGAAGGCAAAGGCCTTCTTCGAAAGGCCTGGGGGCTTCCAAGAAGGCGTTTCAGAAGCAGGGGGGGCTTCAAGAGAGCCCCTGCTCTCTTGGAAGCTCCCCCGCCCCCCGCTTAGAAGGCCGCCTCCCTCGCGCTACCCTCTGCCCAGACACATGAACAAAAGCATCCACCACCGTGCCCCGGAGGCACGAGTTGGAGCGTCCTCCGCTCCTTGGCCCGGCCCCGGACGCTTCCCCGGACGCTTCCTGGGAGGGGCCCCGACCCAAAACTGCGAAAACTATGCTGGGGCGCGTTGCGCCTTGTCGCGCACCCGTTCCGCCCCAGGAGGGCCCCAGGAGGGCCCCAAGAGGCGCCCAAAACTGTCCACGAGAGCCCCGCTTCGCCGCACGATCGGACCAAGACTCCCAAGATGGCCCCAAGACTGATGCACGTAGGTTGTTCAATGTGTGTGTTGGGGTCCTCGACTTATTGAGCTTCCGACGCTCCAAGACGGCCCGAGAGGCCCCCAAGACCACACCAAGACGGCCGAAGAGCCCCCCAAGAGGGCCCCAAGACGGCCCAAGAGGGCCCCAAGACGGCCCCAGAGGCACCCAAGACGGCCCGAGAGGGCCCAAAGACAGCTCCAAGAAGGGGAACACGAACCGAAAATCCGAGTCTTCCGCCCCAAGAGACACCCAGGAGGCCCACAGGAGGCCCCAAGAGCCTCCCAAGAGGCTCCAAGAGACCCCAAGGGACCCCCAAGGCGCCCCAAGAGGCCCCAAAACGGCCCCCAAGAGGCTTCAAAACGGCTCCCCAAGAGGCACATGAGAGGTGCCCCGCGACATCCCAGCGAACACCCTGGCGGCCTATGACCCACAACCCCCGCACGATGGCGGGATGGGCCGAAGGCCATTGGACCTGGGTCGGCACGGTAATGGAAAGAGCGCTGCAGGAACTTGCCCGAGATGGCTCATGGCACCCTTCGCTCCTTGGAGCCTGCGCGGCCCAGGACAAAGTGTTGGAAGCCCGACAGGTTTTTCCGTGTGTCCCTTGAAACGTTGTGCAACAATGGGTTTTTGATGTGTTCCTGAAGGCGCCGCCCTGGGAGGCTCGTTTCGGCGGTGCGGCCGGAGCCCCACCGATGCGTTTGCATGCAATTGTACATAGGTGTTGGAGCGATCTGCAGGGACACACGAGGAGATCGCTGGGTTTTCCAAAGGAGTCCAAACTACAGGGAGCCTTAATGTTAAGAGCTTGCTCCTTCACCGCTCTCTGTTGAGAGCCCTGGTGTTCAAACACTTCTACGTTGCCGCTCGCTCTTGGGAGCCCTGCTATTCAGAGCTTTTTGCGTCACCGCGCTCTGGGGGGCCGTGGTGTTCAGAGCTTGTTATGTCACCGCTCGCTGTTGGGATTCATGGTCTTACTTGGCGTCTTCGGGGCTGCTTGGGGGTCTTTGCGGGGCCCGTTGGGTGTCCTGTTGGGCAGACTTGATGTCTTTTTGGGCCGTCCTGGGGCCCTTTTGGGTCGTCTTGGGGCGTCTTGAAGCCTTTGGCCGTCTTGGGGCTCTCTTGGGAACCTATGGGGGCCCTTTGGGGAGCCTCTTTGGGCCCGCATGGAGCTCTCTTGAGGCCGTCTTGGGACCCTCTTAGGCTGTCTTGGGGCCCACTTTGGCCGACTGAGGAGCCTCTTGGACTGTTTTCGGGCCATTTTGGGGGCCTCGTGGGCCGTCTGGGGACAATCTTTGGAGCCTCTTGGGCAGTTCTGGGCCGTTCTGGGCCCGAAAAGGCGAGAACCTCAAACACTATCAACAACCATCGACAGATCAATGAGTCTTACTTCTGTGGGCCCTCTTGGGAAGCCTCTTGGAAGCCTCGTCGGGCGTCTCGAGGCCCTCTTGGGCTGTCTTGGAGGCCTTCAGCCGTCTTGGAGCTTTCCTTGGGGCCTCTTGGGGCCCTCTTGGGAGCCCCTCTGGGCCCTCTTGGGGCTCTCTTGGGGCCGTCTTGGTGGCATCTGGGGCCGTCTTGGAGCCTTCTTGGGCCGTCTCGGAGTCATTGAACCGTCCCATTCGAAACAATACGAAGACTCGGGCCATTCGTGCCGCCCTGGAGCCGCTTCACTGAACAAATGCGATGGCAACTGGCCACTCCACATTTCGCCCGCACCTCGCCCCTCCCCTGGGGCCCCTCCCTAGAAGGCTTCGCCCCACCAGAACGTCATCGCTCGTACCTCGCTCTTTCCGTTACCTGCTTGACACGGTGACGGAAAACGTAACTACTTCGAGAAGATGCGGAATCGCTGGCCTGTCCGTTGCTCCTCCCCTTCCTTTCTCGATTCCCCTCGCCCTTGTTGCATCCTTGGGTCATCTTGGGGCCCTCTTGGGCTGTGGCCGTCCTCGAGCCCTCTTGAGCCGTGTTGGGGGTCTCGTGGGTCGTTTTGCGGCCATCGTACACCATCGTGGAACCCTTTTGGGCAAACTCGGAGCCTGTTGGACCTTCTTGAGCCGTCACGTAGGCCATCCTATGACATCTTACACGTACAGGTGATTCACGCGGAGCTTACGCGGACCGTACGCAGAACTTACGCGGGTTGGAACACCCAAGACAGTCCAAACCGCTCCCCAAACAAGCTAAACCGTCGCCCAAACATGATGAGCTTACGCGCTTGCGCGGGGGACTCGGGGAGTTTACGCGGCCTGGCCCGTTGTTGCGTTTGGGGGGAGCCTTGGGGCTTTGGACGAGGAGACAACGGAGGAGGAGGCGGAGGAGGAGGAGGAGGAGGAGGAGGAGCGTGGAGCGTGGAGCGTGGAGCGAGGAGCGAGCAAGAGACGAAGGACGATGCGAACGAGGATGATGAGCGAGGGGCGAGGCACGACGTGCGAGGAGGAGCGATGACCGAGGAGGATCGAGGAGCGGCGAGGAGTGACGAAACCACGAAGCACGAGGAGCAAGGAGCGAGGAGGAAGAGGAGCGAGACGAAGGAGGAGGATGAGGAGCGAGGAGGAGGATGAGGAGGAGGAGGAGGGGGACGAGCGAGGAGCGAGCAGCGACGCGGAGCGAGGAGCGAGGAGCGAGAAAGAGCAGGAAAAGGGGAGGAAGCAAGGAAGAGGGAGGAGAATCAGGAGGATGAACGAGGAGGAGGGGCAGCGAGGAGCGAGGAGCGAGGAGCAACGCTCCCAATAATCCCAAGGATGAGGAGCGAGGAGGAGTGATGAGGAGCTGCGTGGAGGAGCGGCAAGCAGAAGGAAACGGAGGTGAGGAGGAAGAAGAGGACACGCGAGGATGATAAGGAGGAGGAGGAAGAGGAGGAGGAACGCGAGACAGAGAAGGACAGCGATAATGAGAAGGAGGAGGCGGAGGACCGAGGAGCGAGGATGACGAGGAGGACGAGGGACGTGAGGAGGAGGAGGAGGAGAATGAGGAAGAAGACGAAGAAGATCAGGAGGAGGGGGAATATACGGAACACATTGAGGAAGGACGAGCGGAGAGCAACAACGATGACGATGACGCTGTCGATGGCGCTGACGATGACGATGGCACTGGTGACGATAACGATGACGATGATGATGATGATGATGCTGATGACTACGTTGACAATGCTGCTGATGATGATGATGATGATGATGACGATGACGATGAGGATGATGATTATGATGATGATGACGATGATGATGATGATGATGATGATGGTGATGATGATGATGACGATGATGGTGGTACTGATGACGATTACGATGACGATGACGATGACGATGACGATGCTGATGACGATACTGCTGACGATGATGCTGATGCTGATCGTGCTGTTGATGGTGCGGATGAT